CAATTATTTCTGGCAAATATCAGATAGACAATAACCAGTGGCAACAATGTAGTTACATTAAGACAAAGTACAACATAAAGAGGATGAACAGAATGTATGAGGTGGTATAATTGAGCAGCAGGAATAAAGGTGATAGAAATGGAATTTAATAAGTTGAAAGGGCATGAGTTAGCATGCGTAGGAGTAACTGATTGCCCTTTCCAATATTCAGGAGTGATTTTCTTTTTTAATTGGATCATACTTCTTCATTGACGAATTGGATGCTTCTTTTTGCCCTCCTCAAGCACAAAATGTTTAAAACAAGTTTTAAAACATGTAATAATATAAAATTGAGAGAGAAAAGTAATCATCAGAAAACTTTTAGCACAAAAGTGTTGACTTGATTCTGACCCTAGAAAGCTTTATAATGCTTTACACTCCTGCCAAAGGAGATCTGGGGTAATAGTTTCCAAGACAGTAAAGTGATTAAGTTTTGGTAGACATGCTGATTTTGCACTTGTCTACTTATGTCCATCAAGGGAATTTTTTTCCTTCTCTTTCCTTTCTCAAACCAATATATTGATCTTAATGCCCAGAGAGGTGGTTGATTCACCATCCCTGGAGATTTTTAAACGCAGATTGGACGTGGCACTGAGTGCCATGATCTAGTAAATGGACTGGATTTGGACCAAGGGTTGGACTCGATGATCTCGGAGGTCTTTTCCAACCCAATTGATTCTATGATTCTATGATTCTATATTAAGATGAGTGTTCCAATGCACGTGTGAAGTTTTTCTTATAAGGAGACTGCTTTGGTACACCAGCAGTAAAGTGATTTCAACAACTGAAATAAAGTATGCACTACAAGAACTATGTTAGTATGACAGTGACAGAATAGTTGAACAGTGAAATCTATCCTGTGTATCTATGATATAAAGTACTTAGGTCTAATTTTCAAAAGTGACCCACCACTGTGAAACCTAAATCATCCATGTGCTTTTGAAAATATTCAGCATTAGCTTACACATTAATGCCAGGCTAAACAGACTGAGCGTGGATCATTTTTCCAGAAGCAGTATGACTTCAAAAATAGTTGGGGGCTGGGAAAGAAAAGTTTGCCTAATTAGCTCTTACACTTTATTTTTTTTCAAAAAGCAACCGCAAGAACGGGATGAGAGCTGTGGGAAGTATCTAATCTACTGCTCTGCCATGCACCTCACACAGGCAAAACAAAAACTGTACTTCTCACTCAAAGAAAAAAGTTTTCCAGAAAAGAACTCAAACTACTTAAAAAAAAAAAAAAAATCAAACCCACAAAAAAATCCCAAACCAAACCCAGTCTATCCCTATGGCACTGCTTGGAAACGTGTAAATACTTAACACTATTTTTTGAAGTTGTACCCAAATACAGTGCCTTTGAAGGCTTATCCCATGATGCTACAATTGCTTTTTGTGACATGGGTAAAAAAATGTCTGTCTAATCTTTTAAACAAAATGTCCATCTTCTTCCTTATGACAAGTGGTCTTGTGAAAGTCCATATAACCACAAAGCATAAAAGCATCATCTGTTCTCTTAGAGATTATGAAATATTGATGTGCCCACAACAGTCATCCAGATGTAGTCTTCAGGCTTTGTTGAATTCATAACCCCAAGCCCTTCTGATTTTAGGAGGCACTGAAATAATTTGAGGCCTCAGACCATTCAAGCCTAACAAAGATTGTCAAAGGTACCTTTGCTTCTCTGCCCATGGGTGAACCAGCTTTGCTTGCAGATGAACCACTTACTGCACTGGACAGTCCCTGATTCCTTCATTGAGACATTTACTGGCAAGAGACAGCCAAGTCCCGGGAACTAGGAATGCATGGGACTTGGAGAAAAGGGATTCTGAGCTCTGAAGCTTTCAGATAGTTGTGCTGACCTAGGTGTCCAGCACTGCCAGCCAACATGAGACAAAGAATTACAAGCCACTTCTGGAAGTGTTAAACCTTGAACTTTCGCTTCAGTCTCTTGATCTGCAAAATGCAGACACCAGTGATTTACATCAGAGGGCAACTAGTATGTTTTTTCCCCTTCAAATCATACTTATGTGGAAACTCTCTATATTCTGAGACAAGTTTTTAAATGAACAAACCTGAATACAAAAGATGTCCCTCTTAAATTACATTATTTCCTATGGATTGAGCCAGAGAGAAAAAAATCTACACAAACTCCTTGTGACTCAGAAAAAATGATTCCATGCTGCAAGCCAGTCCCTCCACTTCAGACAACCTATTTCCCAACACCAATTCTGAAGAATTTAAGATTTGCAGGCAAAAATTCACCATGTGTTTCACAAATCTGGTTTATAAGAATTATTGTGCTTTACAGACTTTTTTCCAAGCAGTGGTAGTTAGATCTGGACCTCAAGCCAAGCAGCAGATGTTGGAATTTCCATGCAGAAGGCAGCTGCCAATGACCCAGAGGATCCCCTCTTACTAATGAGATGCTGCTTCCATACACTTAGAGAGTCTAAGCGAGAAGAAATTGCAGTGCATGTTACATTCATGTAATTTTAGGACAAATCTATGCAGGTTGTTTCCTCAGAGGGGAAAAGTGTACTGCATTTTGGAAGGAGAAGGAAGTAAAAGGTATTTCTTTATGGCTGACAAAACACTGCAAGTGCAATATTGGTAACTCACCTACTGGTATTTAAGATGCCTCAGGGGCAAAACTTGGACGGGACCCAGAGATTTGACTTCTAAACCTCTGCACTAAACTTATGTAAGAGCATAATCCTGTAATGTGCTATTTATGGTTAACTTGGGCAATCTTATCTAAAAGGCCTCATGAGAAAAGTTACGCTCTAATACATATGGATGTGATAACATCTATTCTAGGCTAATCAACAGGCATTTGTACAATTAAAAAATGCCCAGTGAAGATTGCAGCTGTATTAGCTACAGACCTCAGTAGGCTTTTTAAAGCCACACCAGCACCAAAGAAGCCATTTTCAATTAATATGACCCTAGTTAGGACCATAAAGACTAATAGAGGATGTCTGTCAGGTCAAGTTGATGGCTCGCCTGCTTCACACTGCACTAGCCTTTTGTTGTCTAGATCAAATATTTGTTAGCCTGCATCAGGCTCCCTGGCCCTGTTCTGGTGCAAAAAGAACACTTCTCTTAATAAAAAAACCCATAAATGGATTATTAGATAGTCTACACTGGGATCAAGATTGTATATGGATATGAATATGTGTCAGATTTAATTCCCTCAGCTTCCTCTAGTTCTCCAAGAGCACTAGCCAAGAGACCTGAGCAGGAGTGATAAAACTTCCCCGTGTCTTGGGGAACACATGTTGTTCTCCAAAATGCAAGAACTACAAGCACAGTTAAGCTCAGCTTATGTCAGGACAACTCTCAGAACCTGTCTCAGCATCAACAGCCTCTCACCCAAAACACTCCTGTTCATAGATGTTTAAATGTGAGTACCTTTCCCTTACCAGACAGTGGGCATGCAACCAGAAAGCACTAAAAGGCTTAGATTAGAGAAGGACTAGGAAAGAACAAAACCTTAATTTACAGCCAGGTGGGTTCCAGTGCAGACTGAAGACCACGGAGAGAACAGGCTTCATGAGACAAATCTGTCCAAAAGCAGAGCTGTGTTCCGTAGGGACTGAAGGTAGTGCATGGCACATGACTGTCTGAATGAAACAACCCACTAATGCCTAACGGAGGTGTCATGAATGGATGGTAGCTCTGTATGACAGGGGAAGGTTCTTAATCGCCTAACAGACAACATTTGCTTTTCTGTTTTTCTGCTCACCCTTTGATGCCCAAAGTGACCCCAAGCTGAGGCCTTACAGACAGACTAGCAAGCACAGCTTTTTGTGAGACCAAATAGCAGTGCTGTCAATTGCTTCAGTATTTTCTGCTTTTATCAGTGCTTCAGCTCCTCCCACAGAGACTATCAGCTTTCATTAAAAACGTTTCTACCCTTTATGGCTGTGGGGAAAAGCCTGCAACCATGGTTCTAATATAACCTAATGGGTCAGAAAACAAGTCAAAGAACAAGAGCCTCACACTTCTGTTCCTAACAAATAAATCATGACTTTTAAGCTGATCTCATAGTTTATGGTAACTTGACTCAAGGCTTTTGAATTACTAAGGTTAGAAGTACTTTAACTTATCAAACTAGCAAGTTCCTCAGATAAAAATAAACAAAGTGCTTTCCTACAGCTATTCTGAAGAAGATTAACTCCTTTTCCACTAACTACATCTCTCTTTACTATAAAAAGGAAACAATGACAGTTTTTAACTAACCCTTTCTCCAGAAGGCAAACAGGTCCCAGCTACTACAAACTCTCAAGCCAGAGGATATAATCTTCCCACATTGACATGTCCATATTCCACCTCCACAATGGAATTACCAGACTTAGTTACTCATATCTTTGTTGTAACTGGATGATGTAATTTGTTGAAAATGTATGATGGACTACCAAAGGCTACTTGAGGACTTCCTCAGAGGCATTACAAATAATTTAAGCAAATAAGACTAACAGAAAACATGACTGTGTCACTGCCCTATGTCCTGTTGCTTCTAAATTGTTCCCAGTGCTCTTGAGCTGAACACCACATGCAAAGAAGAAAATGCAGTTTTAACGAAAAAGTCCCTCTCCCTCCAAAACCAACACACGTGACCATATAGCATTTCCATCAAGGTCAAGAATTTATAACACCAACAATGCACTATGACCTCACAATTATTCAAAGGATCTTTTGCTTGAAATCACGAAAATCTTGGATCTTACAAAGGTTTCACAATCAGGTTGACATACCATGAGACTTCCATTCCCCTTCAGCTCTGGTTTGGTCATCCTTTGATTAATATCACGTTTATCACGAATGCATTAATTTAAAAACAAGGCTTCCCACACACCTCAAAAATAATCTGCATCACTCTCCGTCTCCAAAATTGTTACACAAATGATTCCTGCCCCATGCCACACCACAGACAAAAGAAAAACAATGTTGTTACTTACTAGGAACTCCAGACACCAGCCGTAATGGACGTAATACTCGGAAAGCCCGCAGTGCTTTAACATCGAATCCGGCACCTTTTCCTCCTATTGAATTCCCCCCATCTGCTTTGGTTGCTTGTTCTAAAATTGCACTAAAAAGCCTGCAAAAAGAAAGAGGAAACAATCTGTAGGCAGACAGCAAGGCTTGGGCTGAACAGGAACAGAGATCATCATCATCATATCACCCAAACTCTCTCACAGACCTGTGAAGAGTGTCACACATCTCAGTCGACATTCACATATGGTAGAGGAGAGACAGACTCTTCCCATATGCAACAGCCTAGTGGTGATGTCTATACCATTTCCAAAACACTTGTTTCTGGAGCAGACATAAACATGACATGCTCCTCCTTCAGCCTAATGGCTCCTTGCAGCCAGCCATAGGCTACCAAGACTTTGCTATCTTTATTAACCAACGATCCACCTTGGGGAAAAAGAATCATCACCCATAATTAATCCAATCATTAATTACCTGTCACCCATTTTACAAGGAATTAAGATTCACCAAGGTCAGTGCAGGTAGAACTTGGTGTGAAACTCAGGGATCCTTCAAGATGCAAATTTTTAGATAAGGGAGTATGTTCACATTGTGTGCTTGAGTATCCGTTTGTAAATGCCCTGATGCACGGGCTAGGCAAAGTGAAAAACTGTAGGAGTGTTATTATTGGAATGTTTTATTATGTTAGCAAGCAAGGCAGAAAAGACAATGGTGTTGTGTGAAAAAGCTGAAGGCTCAACCTATCTCTTAATAAGAACTTGATTTAAGAAATTAGCTTTCAGGAAGCAGCTTCCATTTTTCTGGTAAAACATTAGTACCTTTGGGGGAGGACAGATTCCTCATGAATTTGCTAATGATATTGCTTTCAGCCTTGAAACCACCAGCTTGGACCCAGCCAAATTCAGCAGAGGTTAAAAGCTGTTCCAGTATAAATGGATGTTTGGCACTCTGTAGAAAATGCTTGCCTGGGAGTGGCAGAGCCCCCTTGGCCTGTAAGTTGCCATGGAGGTTCCACAGACAACTTTACAGAAACTGCCTGGAATGCCAGGAACAGCCTATTTGGAGTGGCCGGGATTCAGCACTGGCTGGTTTCTCCTCAGACTTCAGCCTGCAGTGCCTCTGTCAGGATCTCATCCATATTCCACAGAGAGCTCCCAGACCTCATCAAGCAGAGGCTGAGCTGGACAATTGCTTAACAAGGAACTCCAACACCTGCAGCCTGTGTTAAATCTTACAGATAGGGCCACAAACATAGGGAGCTTGCCCTGGATAGGAAAAGGAGGATTCATTTACTGAAGCATCGAAGTCAACATTTCCCCAGCTCTAAATCCAACAAACAATGTGGATTAGAGGAGTGCAAATGTGAAATTCATTTCTTAGCAGGTGGGGTTTCTTTAAAAATTTCATATTAAGAGTCTTATAAAACTTGTCAACGGTGACTGAGGAACTCCTAAACTGGATCTATTCAAAGCCTCAACTTCAAGCACTGCAGAAAGATTTATCAACTAGGTAACAAGCGTGGGAAAAACTGTGTGTGGGGAGGTTGGATGCTGAGTTTGTAGGTGTTGCAGACTGAGAAGCAGGATGCAGAGAAGACAAAAACAGAGCCTATGAGAAATACTGCATTGACTACAGATATCACAGAGAGAGATAAACAAGGGCTGATGCAAAGAATTAGTGGAATGTATGTATTTCTTTAGCTGTGTACACAGATTATACAGTTGCAATTTTCTGCTGGTCCCCATAATAGAAACACTGTAGGTCAAATTTGGCCTAATGTATTTTCAGTAAGCTAGTGATTAAGCTCTAGCAATGTGCTCCATTTCGTATTCAAACGTTTCTATCTTCCTAGTCAACAGAATTCCCATACTAGATGATGAGTGACATATCTATACAACAGTCCCAGTCTCCTGGGATCCTCTGGAGGGAAAAGAATTTACTGCAGAAAGGCTTCTAATGCTGTTTTATATCTCCAAGACTAGAAATCACAAGGAACTCTGAGTCAGGAATTGTGCAAAACTGAAGTCCCATTCTCCTGGGCCCCATTTTCACTGGCTCCCTGTTTTACCAAAGAGCAGCTCTTGGCATTGGGCACCAAGGCTGCTTCTACTGCCACTCCTACAGTGAGCAAACCACAGACTGCTCCAGAAATCTGCACCCTGAGCAAGCTGTACTTGTCCCAAATTAGTTCAGGAGGAGCAGAAACAAAACCAGTAGGACAGCTCACTCCTCTGGAGCTAGAACCTCCCTTCCCAGAGTGCAGAGTTCCCTATTTGTGTTGACGTGCTAAAACATGCTATTTTGAGATACCCACAGTCATCTGCCTACTACGCTTCAGGAATAACTTGCAGTAATTCCTGCTGCTCCTCATTAAAACCCCTACATTTAAACTTGAATTTCTAATCCTGCATTTCTAATGCATTTACTCCATAGTTAATATCTCCCCTGCTTTTTACCAATGCATTGCAACTGTTTATTTCTCTCATTTATTTCACTCTCTTTGTCTATTGTATTGGGGTCGAGACTGTGTTCAGTGTGGCCTGCTGAATGTCTACCTCACTCTTCAAGTTTATAGTACATCTTGCCAGTCCTGCTTCATTGTCCTCACCACCTCCTTCAGTCAGGGCGTTGGCAGACATCTATGATTCAGAGGCTACAACTACCTAACGCTCTTAGTTTTTCAGCTAACTGTTTTCTGACACTAAAACAGCTGGATGGATGTTAGGCTACTGATACGAATTATGAGGCCAGAGCCCTTCTGTCCTATATTTACATGGGAAATTCTGCTCTTTGATGAAAACCTTTGGGAAAAGCTTCCAGTAGGCATGTGGAGCAAGGTGCATTTCTTTCCTTCTCTTCTCAGGAGGTTAGTTAGCTGAAATGCAAGGTTAGTTAGCTGAAATGCATGCTCCAAGCATAGTGTGAGAGAACACTGTGCTGACAGAGAAATTGAAGTTTGGATGGCACAAAAAAGCAAGAGGGTTAATCTCTTGTGGCCACTGAAAATCTCACCATGAAAAATAAATAATAATAATAAAAAAATAAAGAAATCAGCCTTATTTCCTTCCACCTAACTACTTTCTGCCAGCCTAAATTCATGCCCCATTTTCATTTGGATAGATGAAGCACAATTAACAGCATCTTGATTTCTGAATTTCACTTGTGACATGACTACACCTTAACTAAATTCATCTGACAGACATGAATTAGCAGAAAAACAAATTTCTATCAACACTTTTTTTTTTTTTGCATTTACTTGTGAAGTATGAAGCTAGCTTCACTGTTTTTCTTTCTTATATTTTGCTGTTTCTCTTTTGACATTTGAAATATCAAGAAGGTTTTCACTTTGCAGGATGACCCCAACAGCAGCATGATAAGGCCATAACCTGCTCTTCATCTCTTCCTCTGTGGGGAGTGCACTGTGATTTTTACAGCATTAAAAAAAAAAAAAAAAAAAGAGCTTGTCAAGGGCCTCCAGCATATAAAAAGAAAACAGAGGGCTTGGTATTTCTAAGTCCAAAAATCAGCAGAAAAACATAGCTGAAAGAATCCTCTCAGGTGCAAAACAGCATTAAAAAAAAAAAAAAAAAAAGAGCTTGTCAAGGGCCTCCAGCATATAAAAAGAAAACAGAGGGCTTGGTATTTCTAAGTCCAAAAATCAGCAGAAAAACATAGCTGAAAGAATCCTCTCAGGTGCAAAAAACCAGTAAAATACAAAGATTTTTTTTTCACAGTGTTTTACAGATCACCTGTGATTTCTGAGTGTGAAAGGGTTTGGATCTGCCCTTTAGTAACTCCATACAGGTCTTCAGAAACACAGATACTGTGACCACATTTTCCAGTCTGCTCTAGTTTCAGATCCTCCCCAAATACACCTTCACTGCTTACCTTCCCAAGTAAGACTGTCTTTCAAATTACACCACCTCTTTTTCTGGCAGATGCTGCAGGTCCCCGGAGAATGACTGTGCCTGGCAGACAAACCACAGCACTGCCAGGAAAGACAGATATTTTTCTATCACAGCATCGTCAAGTCGGTCTTCTCTCAAGAGAAATTTCCTCCAACAGCCTAATATTAAAGGACATCACTGTGAAATCTGAAAGTTTTAATGTTTCCAAAAGAGGAACAGCAAAAATGAAGGAAGCAGGAGACAATTTGACTAACCATTCGTGTCTGTGGGTTGTGCCTTATTAGGCAGCTTAGGGGTGTGGTCTCTACTCTTAGCTAATTATGTTACTAGAGCCTCTCATTGATACCCTCACACAGACGTTTTTCTTCAAAGCAGCATTTAACAGGGCTGCTATAGCAGGGTCATAGGCTACTTAAAGATAAGCCAGAATCAAGCCTTAAAAGACATTAATTGATGAATAAGCAGATCTCCCACACTTCAAGAATGATAAGCTGCTACAAGACTACAGGTCTAAAGTGCATCCTTACATCAGAAAATATAGCAGTTGTGTTCAGTGCTCCCCTCTGCTGCTGTTGCATATTCCTGTGGCCTTGTAAGAACCACTGACTCTAAAATCCCTTTGGATACCAGAGGACCTATCTTCAGAAGGCAGGGGACAGTGTACAGGCACATTGTTATAAACTTTTTTACAGGAACTGTGACTCCCCTCCAAAATGTATACCTGGTCCTGCAAATGTCTGTGTTGCTCTTACTTTGCCGACTTGTTTGTTTTAAGGTAAAGGAAGCCCGTTGTGCAATATTATCTCTTTAAGTTACATGTGGTAAAGAGTGCATAGGTGGATTTAAAAGATCTAAAACCTGTCTTTTTTTTTTTGCTTCTTTAACTTCCAACAGCACTTGAAGAGGTACTTCCCACCTAGCTTTTCTATGTTTTGTAGCAAGGACACTCATCATTGTAAAAGAAGATGATTCCTAAGGCAGAGCAAGCACAGTTGGCAGTTACCACAGTTCTGGGACTTGATGCTTCCAGTATTAGTCACACACCATTCTTTGCCCCACATACCAAATAAATCCCTCTGCCCAGTGCTGCAGCTGTGTACAGATCACTCAGGTTTCTCCAATAGCTCCATCAATAGGCAGAAAAAAGCACCACAAAGAAATACTGTTATCAGCACTTGCTCTCTTCCTCCTCTCTCTTTAAAATGTATTTTAAACATTTTCCATGGGGCTTCCTCCCTGGCAAAAGATTCAAATACACTGAAGTTTAAACATAATGTCATTGAGGGATTTCAGACAGCCCCTAGGAAAAGAAGACAGGGCAGAACAGGAACAGATGGTATCACCACGTAGATTTTGCAGAGGGGTTGTGGAGAGGAAAAGCAGTACACCAGCCTAGGCTGTGGTACTGAACCAGTGAGTTTAAACAGATAAACATCAAAGGAACCCATCTGGCCTTGAAGTGGAATCTGTCACTTGAGATTGTTACTATTTAACAGAGACCTTGGGGTCTTGGCCATGTTTATTATACTCCTGTAATCCCTCCCCAGTTACATTTTTTGTTCCCCCTCTGGTGGGGAACTGAGAGCTGCTGGAGGCAAAAGCAGATAGAAGACCTGAGAGCTGCAGCTTCTGCCGCTGGCAACAGAATTAATTTCAGCCTGAATATCATCTTGCTGATTAACTGCCCTAGTATGAAAATTGAAAAGGACTGTACTTAAACTAGATATAATGCTGCTCTGTGATTTCTGGAGCCCTGCTCTCTTGCATTCCAATGGAAGAAGAGGAGGTAATGTGTCCTCTCTTTAAAATGTCTCTCAGAAAAATGAAAACGGAGTAATCGCATTCACAGAACTCTTTTTTCTCCAATCTTTCTTCAACTTAAGCAGCAATTTCCAAGCAGGTGGGATATCTGAGAGCATTCAAAGGCAGAACCAACTATGGAACTGGCCATCAATACCAGGGGAGGGGTTGGGGATTTTCCAGTTTTCAATTGCTAATATGTTATCAGATCCTCTGTCTTCGAGCAGGAACAAAGGAGAAAGGCAATGGATGTTGCCGTAAGGAGAAGCATTGTGTCCACGTGGAGGCAGAGAGGTCTTGAGACTAAGAATAGGTTTCAGCCTGTTCTCCCTCCCCCTCACTGGGAATTCTCCTTCCACCCACTTTTCCCCCTGATGACGGAAAGTGGGAGGGATTGGGTAGCACACAGCAGTTTGCCGATGAAATATTTTGGGACCAGCACAAAAATGGTCAGGAAGATAGATGGTTTGGGGAAGAAATTATGAAGGGGTTTTGATGACTAGGAGTGTCCCTTTTGACATTCTCCCTAGGAGCTGATGCAGAGTTTGCTTGGTAAAGAGGTGAAAAGACTACAAGATTTTGTGGGCGATGAAACTCTTTAACAATGGAGTGGTGGGAGGATGGGACAAATTACTCAGGCAAAGAAATACTTGTTCTCTTTGTCTTCAGCTGTAGTTTATCCTTCACCTCTTCCCTCAAACAACCACAATTCAAATCCCCTGCTTATCTCTTACCCTTAGGTAGAAAAAGCAGAAGGTGTATTACTTTGCTTTTATTCAAATAAATTAAATGCCAAGCTTGAAAAACATGGAGAGGAATAACAGGATTAGAAAGGTTGCAGCTCAAAGTAGCAATTTGATCTACAATAGTAAAATTATTCTTTAGAAAGGTTAAAACATTAAAAGGGTCGAAATTAAAAGTGTTGAAATCACCAGCTAAACAGGGCAATTGAGCTGAGGAACTTAGTTTGTAGGAAAACCTAGGGTTTAAATTTATCATCCATCTTTCAGAATGAGAAACACCAGTAAAAGTTCACAAGATGGCAGAATTTATCTGTCATCCAACTCCTAATCTTAATTAAAGGATTACCTAGATATTATTTTTAATATTCACACAGATTTAAAGACAAAGGGATTTTCTTTTACTTAAGCATATCCAGGCGTTTGACTTTGTCCAACAGCTTGCACTACTTCTTCTTTTTATCCCTGTTCCCAAAGAGCAGTTTAATTTCTATGTCTTGCAAACCATTTAAATGGTGGTTGTAGGAGGAACATGATGGACAGCAACCTCTAACATCACTCATATGTAATGTACCGAGATTCCCCCACCCTTAAGCTCCCAAATATTGCCAATATCCCCGTGTGTACAAAAACAAACTGTTGTTTTTGTGCCTTCAAAAACAAACTGTTGGTACTCACCCTACTACCACAATTATAAAATCTAGTAAATTCCAGCCATTGCGGAGGTAAGCGTTGGGGTGAAAGAGAAGTCCGTATGCTATTACTTTTAAAAATGCTTCCACTGTAAAAATTATGAGAAAGAGATATTCCACTCGTTCCTGGGGAAGACAAGAGAACAAGAGAGAGAATGGTTAGTGTGAGTGACAAACCATGGATAAGGATGTTTTCTTTTGTTGTAGTCCACCCAACTCATCGACTCGCCACTCGGGTGCACCTAACACGCATGGCTTGCTTGCCAGGGAGCTTTCCTATGTGCAGTCAGGGCAGGGCCAGTAAATTTTGGTTAGACTCTGAAACCTGCTGCCCTTGCCTTGGTGAGGACTGACCCCTGCACAGGCCTGTGCAAAGCAGAGGGGCAGCGTCCAGGCACTCAGCTCTCTCCAGCGTACATGGCCAAATATTGCCAGCCAGCAGAATGAACTGCATCCAGCCCTCTTCTGCCTCTGGAGAGGAAACATTGCTGGATGCAATAATGGGGAGAGAGATGGGGAAAAAAATAAGAAGAGCCCACCTGAGACTAATGCTTGTGTCAGACTGAGCCTTCTTTGGGATTCCCTTTTCTGTTGCTGGGGAAGAAGTAGGCTGAATACTGGTGGTAAGTGATTTACAGATCAGGCTGACTAACACTAGAGGCTTTTAGTCATACTGTTAGAAATGTACGTGTCCCTGTGAAATGCAGGCTGCAATTAAGCATATCCAAAGTCACTTCCAGTTACAGTACAGCCTGATTCAGGACAAGCAATCAAGCTTTTGGTGCAGTACAGAGGCTCACCATCTCTCATCCCTGGGGCTTTTAGCCCCGGTGTGGAATAAGGATAGCAGTGTTGCAGAAATGGTAGGGACCTCCACCTAAGTAGGAGGGAAACTGCAGCATTAGGTAATCACTACAGAAGTGCTGCGTGGCAAGCTGCGTGGGAGATAAGTACATGAAAACTAGATAACAGCAAAAGGAGACTAGGTCCCTGAGAGGTTAAACTACAAAGTCATTAAAAGTTCACACTGAAGAAACAAAATCTAAGATAAATACAAATTAAAACATCCTACGCATTCCTGTGATACCTTGAAAAATACCCAGCAAGTCAGTCAGACAGGTCACTATTTTTCTTCTGAGCTCCAAATTTTATCTACCCTGTTCCTCTGTCCAGCTGAACGCAGGTATGACACTTTCATATTATATAGCAATAAAAAATGTGCAGGATTACAAAAAAAATCATTCCACCTTTTGACAGCTGCCCATTTGAATATTTTACATTCAGCTCCAGATAATTAACAACTCACTAGAAACCTGAAGATCAAAAAAAACCAATTGCCAGTTCATTTGTATGTTTACATTAATGTGATATTTTACATGACTGAAAAATTCCATCTGACAGTAGCAGGCATATGTTTGTGCTTTAGAATATTGCTGGTTTCCCTCAGATGATGCTTTCACAATGCCTGCAGTATCCACCAGTGCTTAGTACAAGGAACACCCGAAAAAGCAAAAGTATCATTCTGAAGTTATCTGATCTAGTAGTAAAGCTTTTGAACTCGCCCACAGCACAGAATTTGTCCATTGTTGTCCCAAATGGAGACACAGCAGTACACTATGGATTTTCCTTCCCTTGAACTCAGAGATGGAAACAACAGCATACAATATCAGCACCTACTATGTCCCCTCTACAAATAGTAAGGGCACTATTTTACTTAGCCCAGGAATAGGCACAGAAGTGCTAACAATCAGGAATCTAACCATGGGCTTGACCACAGGAAAAAGCTCCATAATGGCTTGCACACTCCTAGAAGGGACTAACAGGGCAGCCCTTCACCTTCCATTCTTGCTGACAACTGAGCAAGTACCTCCTGATACACAAATCATGGCCAAACAGACCCAAATGATCGATCTCTATGCACACATTTGTAAGGAGGGACTAGCTGTCACGAAATCTCTTAAACCCTAGAAGTAGTATAAAATGACTGCATGATGGGAAGTCTGTGTGGTCTTTCTGACTGCCCTGCACCTTTGTGCTGCCTCTATCAACATAGCCCAGGGCCTGACACGACCCCACAGACAGCTCACGGTAGCTCTGCCTGAGAGGTGATGCCCTACCTCTGCAAGGACAAAGTAAAACCTATGCAGAGGCTGGAGAAAGATGGAAATGGGCTCTGAGGAGGAAGAACCTGCCCTGAACTCAGTATGGGAGTGCTGTGCCTAGGATGGACATGGCCTCACTAAGGACTAATGAACACTGTTTAGGATGGAAACAAAGATTTCTCTTATGGCAACTTAACCCACTAATTAGACTCACTCACTCCCTATTTCAGCCAAGGGCTTTCCAAAGCTGTGGGCAAGCTCTCTTTCCGTCTCACAAAAAGGGCAAAACCACTCTTCAGACTGCCTTTGAGGTGGCCCTGTGCACTCAAGTTCATCCAGCATCCCACTGTGCAAACAGAAACACAGTCTCATGCAGGAGTGCCGTAGGCCCTAAAAAACAGCCTGCCCCTAAAACCTCTCAGTGGCCACAGCTGAGATGGTTACAGGGGGATGTCGAGGAGCCCACCCTCCTATTTAGGAACTCCAGGTCCAATTTGAAGCTGGTGGGCAGAACAGTTGAAGAGGAAGGCCTAAAGCTGATCCTGTGCCCAGCAGTTTAACAGCAAGCACTGCCCTTGACCTCTGGGCACCCAGGGACAAAAGCTGCTGCCAGCTCTGTCTGGCTTTGTGCTGCTCCCATGGCCACGGCCCTGTGCAGGCCTGCCTGGCCAGGAGAGCCTTTCTACTCCATGAATTTCATTGGAATACCTGTACTAGTGCAATTGAAAGAGCCATGAAAGCAAACACTTCAGAAAATTCTGGAACAACCTTTTTTTTTTTTTTTTCTTTTTAATTACTACTTTTTAAATATGTAATAGTGCATGGAGCAGACAGTATTTCAACAACTCACAGGTTCCACTTGGCTGGGATTGGGAGCCTTATACCTTTTTGTCTCTGAAGATGCCTATGGGACTACTGGCACCTCTTTTGTTATTGTAATAATGCTGTTTGTTGAACCTTGTTATTGAGGTACTAATATAACAAAATATTACACACACATGCATATATACACATCTATACATAGGTATATAAATATATACATATATAACTACAAGCTATTTGAATAAATTCCTTACAATACTTCGATTAAGATGGAAAGATCCATAAAAAATAAAATTCTATAAAAGCCTCTAAAAGATACAGAATGTTGAGCAGAGAAGAGGTTTTATGATCCTTTGCACTTAAATTAATGATTCCAGAGTCTAAAACTGAAGGAAAAATACTGCTGAGATTAAACAGTGCAGCTGCTCCAAGATCATTTCAGAAAGCTACTCCTGCTCAGACTCAAGAAGAATTTGAAAAGCCTACTAATTAATTTGTGTTCCCTTTTGTCCTCATGCTATAAAACTGAAAAGCCTTTATGAACACAGCATAACTCGGTAACGACACAGCATAACTGAGTTCCCCAGAATGTGGGTTTCAGTCCCAGTTCTGATGCCACCTTGCCCAGTGAGCCCACAGATATGACTCAACCATCCCCTGCCTCAGGTTGGAAATGACAGGACCACCTCTTGCCCTCAGCAGCCACAGAACAATAAATTTGCCTCTGCCAAATGGGCATCTATACTTCTGCCTGCTCATTTGAAGCTTTGCTCTCAGAGCAAAGCTGGTAGACCAGGACTCAGTGTTTTAATCTCCCAAGGGACATAGCACTGCAAAGTATCCATAATTCCAACTCTTCCAAGAAGCTGATTTGGTACAATTTTGAAAGCAACCAATCTAGACAAGTATTGATGTTTCTCTTTGAGAGAGCTCCCTGCTGACAGGGAGGGAGGGAGCTGCCCACTACCATTATGAGAGGAGATAGCCACAGTATTGCCCCTTGAAACACAAATCCAAACCACAGCATCAAAAGAGAGGGAACTTACTTTGGAGTTGTAGGAAAGAAGGAACAGTATTTTTTCATTTGTGCCTTAGAAATGGGAACCCTGCTCACGCGGCCAAGGCACGTGAAGCATACTGCAGGTTGTAGAATTACAAAGCAGGAGCTTCCTGCTTGGGCAATAGTAATGCAAATGTTTTGAAAACCAAAGGAAAAAAACACAAACAAAATATGCGTGGAAGAAGAGGAAGGATAAAAGTTTTAGAAAACCAGCCAGTCCCTGGAGCACACGTGTTCTGAAACTGGCTCTACCACTGTTTATTTGAGTTTGTTTGGGGTTTTTTTTTGTAGATATAGGACATAAGCATCAGCTACCCTAGTTGATAGATTAGCCAGCACTAACACTGCCAAGAAACAAGCTGTACATCATCTTACTTTTAACAAAGAAACAAACATCAACTTACTGTTAAGGCTCTAAGATACATTTCCAAAAGAGGATTACTGCATTAAGTATGAAAACCCTCTAATCCCATGTGCCTTCCGAAGAAGTCATAGGTTTGTTTTCGTTTATAATTTTTAAACTGTAGCTAATGTCATCTTGGGTTCATAAAGGAGTCTGAAAACAGGAAATCCAAGGAAATTATTGCAGGGTGCCATAAGGCTTTTCTCCTGTCAGAGAGTGAGTAGACCAGTGCTGTTTCTGAGAAACGGTCGTCAGAATGATTCACTGTATCTTGATCCCAGCTCTCCAAACTCCATCCACCCAGCAGCACTGATAGGTCATAACATTTTCTTTGCAATAGTTACTCAAGGATCAAATCCCAATCAGGTTCTTGCATCTCATACACACCACTCTAAAGAGTTTACAGTACAAAATTCAGTCAGTGGAAGTTTTCTCAGACTTTTCTGTCTGTCTCTACTTGCATTCTGCTCAGCTTATTACAAACCATGTTTCAAAAACTACAGCTTAAATGTTTGAAGTAATGAGCCCCAAGCCCTGCACAACTAGAACCTTTATGAAGCTGCCTGTTTGACCTTAGACGTCAGAGTCTGCATTATTATTCCCTAATGCTTCCTTAAACATAAGAGAATACATTTCTTCAGTAATGCAAATACTCAGATGTCCAAGTAAAACAGCAGTATTTTAAGGGCCTCTGTCATATAGGATGCTTTGGCATTACTTTTATAAATAGACTCTGAAA